CCCCAAATGCTACATTATTTTTCTAAGACCAGATCTGAATACAAAAGAACATTTGATGTCAGAATAAAGTAGTACAGTGAGTTTTTTGTAGGTGGCTCCCAGAATGTTAGTTAATAATTCCAAGAAACTGTATTTGACACTTTAATGTTCTTTTAATTAAACAACAAGAACAAGAACCCCAGAAAATCCTGTTTTTTTCAATTCCATGATTTCTCTCCATGACAAACGACTGATATTAATTTTCCCCTATAGAGATAATTTCCCCATTGCCATGGCAAGGTAGCCATGACCCCAAAAGCTTTAAAGAGGATAACCAGCACCTCGAAGTGCACTTTCAGCATGGTGGTTCTCTGCAGTGTATGGGTGTCCTTCATGCCCATGTACATGAGCACCACTTTATCCCTACATGCTACATGCAGTAAAGTGAATTTTGGGGAGCAGTTTCCCCAAGATATCAGTTACTGATTCCACCACAAAAGCACCAAGTCCTCTTTTCTTCAACTATCATTTGTTTTTGAGTGTACAGAATAAAGTTCTGGGTGTGAGTCTGTGTGTATTTCTGAATGACTGCAAGGACCCTATATTTTAAATCATTGTGTCAGGGGTTTCTGAGTTGACACATAATTTGTGGATAATAAATGCCATATTTACAAGAGGAATAGAGAACTAAAGATGGTTAGTTCAGCTTCACAAGCAAAGGAAAATAAATTTTTCTATGTCCAGATCTAAGAGGACAAGGATCAAAGGTGGTCGAAACAAGGAAACTCCAAGGCTGAAAGGGTGGCAGGTATTTCTTTTCTCTCTCCTGCCGCTGAGGATCAGTTCAGAAGTATCTGAACTGGGCAGATTTTTTGAAAAATTAATTTATTCTGAACACCAAAAATAAATTGAGTCCCAACTTTTCAGTCCTCTCCCTTTTGCATTCCCTTCATTCCTTTCCTGTCTGTCACAATCTTCTTAAATTGGTTTTCTTCACAGTCAAGTCCTCTTTACCTTTATTCAATCCAAGGTCATTTCAACACCTTCCAATAATGGTTTCTTCCTAGCCACCACATTATTTTGTTCACATATTTCTCTTCTTTTATGTTTTTCTTTTTCCTTCTCTTTGCATTCATTTTACTGATGTGCATGATATATCAG